TCTTTCTTGAATAATTACAAATATATATAATGAACTTTTATATATTTGTACAAAATATATGTAAATATTCATATTTAAGGCAGACTGGCTATGATAAGTTCACATAGCTATGTTTCAATCATTTCTATCTTATTTTTGTAAATCCTGGGGACTGAACTCAGGGTCTCACACATGGGAGGTAAATGCTCTATCCCTGAATCACAACCTTAGCCATTTAAAAAAAAAATTTTTGAGGCAGGTCTCACCAAATTGCTGAGGCTGCCTTGAACTTATGCTCCTCCTGACTCAGCCTCCCAATAGTTGAGATTACAGATGTGTGCCACTGTGCCCAGCTTCATTTCTATTTTACAGATGAGAAATTCTGTAAAGCCTCATACACTGTAAGAATTGATGACACTGTTGGGAGACAATTCTCCATGGTCATCTTTCTGCTTACCTTTCCGACTGTTCTTTGTTTAAGACTTTCTTTTCAGTTATTAGTGATCAGCCTTGGAAGATAGAAATACTGTTATTATATTATATCTTATTAAATTTATAAATAAAACAGTACATAAAAATTTATTTGCCCTCTCTAACAATGCTTTTGTTTCTAAAATTATGATTCATGGTTTATTTGTTGTCAGGTTTCTCTCGTAATGTGTGAGTTCCAAAGAGGTCTATTTGAATTTGCTTTATTAATATAGTCACACCTGACACTTTGATTGTCGTCCTCGGGTGTGAAGTTCCATGTGTATTACTAAACTAATTATATCCATGGCTTTAAAATTAAACGTCTAAACAAAACGTTTGCTAGTGAGCTGTAAAATTCTCAAGTGATTTTAAATAAAGAATAGTACTTGTAAATACTAAGCCCTGAAACAAGTGATTTGACACTATTATATGCTCAAAGAATATATCAAGGACAGTGATAGTTTCCATATAGCCTTCCGTCAGAGTTCAAATTTCGAGTTTAAAAACAAGCATTATGTGGATTAGATCCTTTCTCTGAAAGGTTCTGAAATGCAGTTTCCTGATGTCTTCTACCTCTCATCTCCAGATAGCTGTTTTGACAGAGGAATTTTGTGGTGCTACCTTCTTCAGAAACACATGAATATTTGTAAGAATTCCATCTCAATTAAAAGAAAAGGACACTGTCCATTGGATTTCACATATTATTTTGAGCTTCTAGAAGAGCTTTTTTTTTTTTTTTTCATGGATGGCAGTGTTTTTTCTTATTCCTTGACGTGCATTTGCTGTAAGCACAGCCTTGAACCCTCATTACACACAGTACCTACCCGGAGAACCGAAGCTTGTGGGAAAGATTCTATTTAACTGCCGATTTCTCCACTTAATTAATAGGTATTTCTAAAACTAGATATGAATTTTAATGAAATGTTTTGATCCCCAGAAGTGAAACTCTAGTTTGATTCTGACAGAATAACAACTACAAACTATTGAATAGAAAGTATTTCAAAAACCTCACAACCACAGCACTTGCCAGGGTTTGGGGTTTTGTAAGCCCGTCTATTCTGATTCAGATCTCTGTGGTTCCAGCTATTATCCCCATATTGTCTCATCTAGTTTTGATCAAAGTTATGTCATTCCTGGCCGAAGTACATAATTCCTGAAGGAGATCCTTAGAACTTTCCCCTCCTACTATAGTGACTGAGAAGATTGTATATTCCAGATAATGCGGCTATAAAATGGACTGATGCTGAGTAATACTTAAAGAAAAGAAATTTATTTGGTTCATGATTCTGGTAGCTGAAAAGTCTAAACAGCATGGTGTCTGCATCTGGAATGGGTCACCTAGTAGTGTCACAACATGACAATGGTATCACATGGCATGAAAGCCAGAGAGAGACTGATGACAGTGACAGAGCAGCCATGTGGTGAGAGAAGAAGCAAGAGAGTGGAGAGAGGCCAGGCTTGCTCTTTTATAACAAACTGCTCTTGCTCTCCAGGAGCTAATTCATTCCTGTGAGACAGAAACCAGTGCACTAGACTAGCCTTATTCCCTTCACAAGGATGGTTATGACCATCAACTCCCACCAGGGCCTCATCTCTGAAAGGTTCTACCTTTAAGGTTCTACCATTACCATCACAACCGGAACCAGGCCTCCTGCACATGAATCTCTGGGAGACAGTCATATCCAGACTATAGCAGGCTCCTACTAATTAGAGCCCTTTCTGTTGATTTGTTTGATGTGTAGTGTGATCAACAATTTTTAACTTAAGCCAGTGAGGTCCAGGGATTGCTTATTACAACTGTAGAAGTATAGGATCATCTTTTTCTATTTTCAAGTGGGTTGTCTTTTTCTTAGTGATTTATAGAAGATCTTTTGCCTATTTAGAATATTAACATTTTGTCTGTTACATATGCTGTAATTTTATTTGCAATGCATTTTGCTGTCGAGAACTTTTATAGAGCAAAACTTGTCATATAAAGTCTTTTAAAGTTTTTCTGTCTTTACAGAAAGGGTATATCCCCTTGCTAAGATTATAATTTTCCCATTACAATTTACTGAATAGATATCATTTTCCCACTGGGACAAAACTACTTTTATTAATACTAAATTTGAGCTATGCATATATAGATCTATGTCTGGAATCGTAATTTTTCTATTTTGATGTCTGTATCATACTAATTTTTGTAATTCTTTTTAATATATATTCTGATATGTGGTATAGCTTATTCCTCTACATTATTTTATTAATTCTCTTGGTATTCATACACATTTATTCTAGATTAATTTTTGCTATTAAGTTCAGAAAAAAATGTATTGGGATTGTAGGGGAAATTTTACTAATTATGTATATTAGTATGGTAACTATCATGGTGATACCTGACTATCTACTACTTGAGAGGTAGAAGCAGGAGAATTACAAATTGGGGGCTGGCCTGAACAACTCAGTGAGTCTCTGTCTCAAAATAACATAAAAAGGGCTGGGAGTGTAGCTCAGTGGTCAATCACTTGCCTAGCATGCCTGAGGTTCAATTCCCAGGACCCCAGTCCACCCCTCTCACAAATATGGGGAGTAATGATATCTTTGTACTGCTGAGTTTCCCATCCAAGAATATGCTATGTCTTTCTATTCAGATCTCATTAAAATTTTGTAATTTGTCTTGCTAAATTTATTCCTAGGCATTTCCTGACCTTTGTTGCTGTTGTAAACGTATTTTCTTTTTGTAATTGGCTGATTATTAAATTTTACAGCTGTTTAATGAGTAAAACAGAATATATAGACTTCAAAGGCCTGAGAAAGCAATTTTAACTATCCCTGTTCAATAATTATCTAGAACCTCATTGAGAGACATACTGTAAATGGCTGTCTCAAAGATGCGACAAACCAAAATGTCTTTGGCATGCATCAGATTTTAAAAAGTGGTTAATTTTCCTGGGCCCTGTCACAGCGGCACTGCTCAGAACACTCACCTAATTTCACCTTGATGTTAATCATTGGCCTATGAAAGTTCTTTTCAAAACTTTCTAGAAGGTTTTTCTTACATCCACATTTAGCCATCTCTCTGAAGCTCCCAAAGAGAAGCGCTTGCCCTGGTTTTGGTTCTTCTGAGAAACTGCTCTGAACTTTTGTCTTGTGGACCCTGGGGTAAATCATCCACCATTAGCATTTCACTCTGCATTGGCTGCTAGAGAGTTTAAGGTTGAATTTTCATTCATCTTGATTTTCATGAATGCATTTTGAATTCTAAACTTATTACTAGCCTTGAACTTTCTTATATGTAATGCCTGTTTTTCATTTATTTCCATTTTGTTACACCTTATGTTTCTTTGTAATCCACTTTAAATGTTTTCTTGACCAAAACAGACTTGAAAATGCTGAGATGGGCTTGTGTCCTATAATCCATGCTCTAATTTCATGAAATTATAAGATAAATAGAATTACCACACCATTTGAAATAAAGACATTTATTCTGAAATAAAGAATCATATTCTTTGAAATTACAGATTGGTTTATAAAAAAATAATCTTAACCCTAATTTCTTAAGTCAAATTCACTTTAAAATACCTTTTAAGAAAATGATTATAGGGCTGGGGTTAGAGCTCAGTGGTAGAGCATTTACCTAGCATGTGTGAGGCCCTGGGTTCAATCCTCAGCACCACTTAAAAATAAATAAATAAAATAAAGGTATTGTGTCCATCTACAACTAAAAAAAAAAATTAAAAAAAAAAAGAAAGAAAATGATTATATAGCCAGGCATGGTCATGGTTCACTGCTGTAATCCCAGCAACTAGGGAGGCTGAAGCAGGAAGCTTCCTTAGTTATTTTAAAATGCTTTTGTAAAGTATTAGCATTGACATGGAACTTTTTATGAAAATTTGTAGCTTCTTCTAGTGTAGAGAAAATATGTATGTCATGTGTAGTTTTATCTGCTAAATCATTGCCCAAACTAAGGACTTCAGGCAATCCTGTATGTGCCCTGATATGTCCTATAAAGAATGGATCTTTTCTGTCCCAGATTAGACTTTGTATAGTGGAAAGCAAAGAGAAAACAGTAGAGGAAGGGGAAATCCTACCAGCATCTTCAAGGGATACTATAGCATTAACTATATACTGACTATCGGAAAATAAATTAAGTCCAAGGCCAGCCTCACAACTTAAGAGAGATACTGTCTCAAGACTAAAAAGGGCTATGGATGGTTTTTTTTT